TTAAATGATTCTAAGATCTCCTTTTTCAGTTTCTTTTATCGATATTATGGATTTCTGTACATATTTTCAATATTTTAATACTATAAATACTTCAAAAGATACTGGTCCACGAAATTAACTTTCTTTATTTGTTATTAATACGTAGATTGACCATTATAGCGAAATCAAAATAAACGTTTTCTCCTCAAATAATGTGTTTTAATACTGTATCAAAGTGGATGTGCAAAACCCTCCACTTTTAAAGGTTTTTGAATCTCTTCATTTCGTCCCAAGAACAAATAGCTTTTCCTCGGTAGTAAACGAGGATCAACACAAACAAACTCTCAAATTTTCATGAAATTATCAGCCAACGAGGAGAAAGTTTTTTGTCACGTGCATGAATCTAGATACTCGATAAAAATGCATATCCGTATTTCGTGACATGCATGAATCTAGATATCCAATAAAAACGCGTATTCATATCACTAGTGATCTGGAAATGCGTTTTTATTGGATATCTAGACTCATACATAGCATGAAATGTAAATAAGGAAAACTACTAACGGTTGATTTAGGAACACTTTCTTTTAGCAGTTTACTTCCCTCTTCACTGCTTTTTGGGACACGAACACAGTGAACTGCATTACTTTCCGCCATAATCAAGCTCCGACTAAAACCACGGAGCTATAAACTAAATGAGCAAAACTACTATAAATTTAGCATACACTTTGAATTCCGCTAAGAAACCCCAGAGAGACAACAGATGAATGGTAGCTGATAATGATGTCCAAAATTACGCAACCGATGAAAAGAACGTAGCCATAGTGTTACGATTTAGGTGATGATCAATATAAGCAGTTTAAGAAGCAATCTAAACAAATAAAAGCACTCGGCCGAAGGGCGGCCTCTTGCTTTCATTTGTTTCTCGATGATTGAATACCACGATCAAACCCACGAAATCGTTTTTATATACCACTCAACCCTTTAACTCCCAAGATCTCATTAGCAATTCTCCCTAGTGTCTGCCATACAGTTCTTCTGATGGTAGTTTGGAGAATTTGGTGTTGGATCAACTAAAAATCCCCCGAATAATATTGGTCTTTGTTCTCATTACTTGTCTGCTAACTATTGTATTGATATTGTAGGGAGAAATTCTGTCTTGGTCACTCATAGGAGTTAAAGGGTTAACGATAAGTCTGCCAATATCCGCAAGATGATAAAGATATCTAAAGTTAAAATCGAACCGGCAGAGGCTCTAGCTATTCGAGCATCTGATTATGAGATAAATTTGACTCATATACAATCTATGCACAGAAAGAACATCTCTTGTTAGCGGTTTTCAACATTATCAGCCAAGGCTGTATTGAAAAGAATTTACAAGATGTTTTGAATTAAAATTTTCTCTCCACATAGCGGCCCTCACAGAGTCTTGGTTTAATGAGGAGATCGATAGCGATCAAATATCGATTGGTGGGTGCGTGGTCCACAGAAAGGACAGAAAGCAGTGTCGTGGGATACGGGTGTGAATTTATGTGTTCCAGCAGATGCCTATTACGCACCGCTTGGATTTAGAGCACCCAGACCTAGAGCGCATGTGGTTGTTGGCTTGACCCCCGCGTTTATAGAGACCGCTGTACATGTCTGCAACTGCAGTGTGCGCAGTGTACTGAAAATCTCGTAGAACCGCTTTGCTTTAAAAGATTGAAAGAGAAGCTACTCAAACAACAGTTGATATTTCTCTCAGCATTCAACATTTTTCTATCCATTATTGCATTCCTTGGAAATAATCTGATCCTAATCGCCCTACACTTATATTCCTAATCTTTTTCCCTTCATCCGCCATCCAAAATCTTTTCCAGTTGTCTCGCAGCAACTGATCCATGCATGGGACTCATTTCTGAGCCTTGATACGTTGCTTACTAGCTTCCTGTGTTTCACGAAAATTAGAATCTGTGTCGCTACGCATCGGCCACATTTTTTTGTAACAGGCTACACTCTGTCTTCAATCTCTCTGTTTATAATGACGGTAATAAGCGTGGACATACTTCTCTCATTGTTTTTGGGGTTGAGATAGAGACAATTCGTAACTTTGAAGCGAGTATTTTTGCTTGTAATAATATTACGATACCATTTGAGCTTGTGATAATATTTTGGACTGTTTCAGTCCTATCTGGGACGTCATACTCTATAGATCGCTGTATAGCCATCTGGTATGACTATAACGTTATACCTTGAGCTGCGCATGCATCCTGATGAAAGCACGTGAGACTGCACAATTACTGGATGATATGCACACGATTTGGGACATTTGGTTGTAGTTACGTCGAGTAGTCCTCCATGAAGGTTGATCAATTTTGTTTTAAAAGATGATAACCAGAGGCGAGATTTCTCTTCGGGATATTGGTCATAAGATAACATTCTTTCAAAGCCTCGCACGTTTCATTTGTCCGAAACATTTGTTGTTGAGAACATTAGATATAAACATCGTCAAATTATGCAATATCTGATTTTGAGCTATTTCGCGAATTGCCCCTATAAAAAGTAGAGGCAGGCCCGCAGAGATTTTTACATATTACAAACTAGAATATAATAACCAGCTAGGTGGGTAGTTTCAGTTCCAGAATCGTTGTACTTTTGGAGAAATTCAGATAAACGTTTTCCCTCTTTTACCCGGCAACAAAAATGACCGAAACTGTACCGAGATGAATAATCTACTGGTGTGTTCACATTCACTCCCAGGGAAAATTGAATGAATCAAAGTGAAGACGAATGATGTTACTATGTATGGTAGAAGTGCCAATTTGTAATGTTTTATTTAGCTTGAGATGAGAAACAAACATTAAAATTTTTTTTTGCGACGTTTTTGTTTGAAAATGAGGCCCCAGGCCTCGAATAAGCAGCCGTTGTTACCATAGCAACAAGAGTGCTGCGACCTTTAAAAAGGGCACTTTTGTGCATCCCCCCTAAGTGCCTAACTGCATGCAAAATTTGAAGGGAGGTTGAAAATTTTCATTTCCCAAGATGTTTGATTCTCACAAACTTATTTTTAATGCTTCTGAATACAGCTATGATAGGAATTACATAATTATGCAATTGCCTACATATGTGAACCAGTGCAATATACGGTCATAAAAGCAATTCTATTCTCGTCTTCCTCCTTGAAGGGTGCTTTGCGTATCAAATATGTCAAGTTCAGTACCTCAAGTAATAAGTGGCTTTGAGCAGCAAATAATCAACCGATTATGCCAAATTATCGAGTCAAATTTTAATCAGACATAGTTGAAAGTTTAAAATGTGCTTTATTTGTAGTGAAGAAACGGATTTAACGTTCTTCATTACTTATAAAATTCCAAGGTCGTAACTCAATTAATTCAAAAGAAAATATTCAAGGGAGCCTTTTTAATTTAGCCTTTCTTTGTTCTTTTAGGTGTTCCTCCCGCCGTGTTCCACCTATTTCATTGTGCTTTCTAACTCTCCTTCACGTTTTGTTTTTACTCGCTCTACTCCTTCTACTTCTTACTCTCTGTGGTCACTCTGTCTCCTTCTTTCCAGCCTATTTTCACTTAAAACTCTTTCTCCACGAACTTGAATCGCAATAATATCCTCCGGTTGACATAGCTTTAGCTTTGCCGGTATTGTTGCTTTGCAAGTTGATTAAAAATTGCAAAATAATGAGAATTACCGTTCAACTGCAACTACGCCAGTATGATTTCCCGCTCAAAATGTTGCCGATGTTTCTTGACGCATACTGGTGGGGTATCCAAGTTCCGCACGCAATTGCGCCTGCGCATTACCTTCTCCCTCACTCTTCGAATTCCGTAATAGCTCAAATAGTGACCGCAATGCAGTTGCTGCGCATGTTAAAAGTAACTCATTGTACAGTCGGTCGTTTGGGCGTAATTCCAAATTTTTCAGCTCAATGGGTTACTATTATTTCATATATTTATGGGGCTACGATTCGCGAGCTCCGCTATAAAAATAGTTTAGTTGGTGTGGAGGTGCCCTGAGAACTTGACGATATGCATCGTTCAATACTCCTTTATCGAATGAACACGACTTAACCGAGTGTTCAAGAGACTTATTTTAACTACGAGACCAGAATATTAATTGATATATTTTCTACATAAACGTGCGTCATGCACAAAATGCGAAAAATTGTATGAAAATGAATCATATCTGAATTTATACCATAATGTAATCACGAAGTACGCTTTAATTGGTCAAAAAATAAATCGACTATTATCTCGGTAAACCTGTAGAAAACTTAAATATTTTCCTGCGTTGAGAAATGGCGCCACACGGGACGAATTAATTTATTGAAGGTCTTTGATTGGAGGTAACGAAAGGACGCTTTGAACGCCGAAAACAACAAGAATTTTTTTCCTAACATTACTCAAATTTTCTAATTAAAATGTAGCTTTACTAACTCGTCTTGCCGTTTCAAGGTTTATTTTTCTCTGTGCGGTGGAAGTGAAAAAATTCAGAAATTCCCGATTAGATTTGCCCACACCGCACGCTGAAAAGGAATAGAAAACTTTTCATGTTTTTCGCTTTTCACTCAGAAATTCATTAAAAATTATTTCTGCGTGAGAACAAAAACCACTTGCAAGGTGGATGTCCACCCCAGATTTACATAAATTCCATTAGCTGTCTGCGATTTCAGCTTTCATTTCATGGTTTCAGTGTTTTAGAATATTTAGAATATTTCAGTTTTGTTGAATCACTTCCTTCAGTTTCTGTCGCGGCCCCAAATTTAGACGAAAAAATTCGTATTTTCCTTTATCTTTGGCATTGACCAATACACTAATACGTAACCGCGGTTTTCTTTATGTGTATATATATATAGACTGGCAGACAATTCATTGTCAAGTTGGACCTAGTTGATGAGATTGTCAACGGCTAGTAAGCTGATAGAAGGAGAGGCCGTGATATTTATATTCATACTATAAACCTGAGGCAATCCTTGGAGATGCAAGCTTTCCTACAAGGTTGAATTAAACAAGGGCGTTGCAGTGGGAATAATGGCGCAAGCAAACCTATCTTATGATGCCGGAAAACAAACAGAAACGTATGCACAATTACGATGCGTGGAAGGAAGGATAGATGAGATACACACTCAAATAATAATGATCTCATCGATCAACATTTTTCTGTCCATTACTGCATTTCTTGGCAACAACCTGATCCTAGTTGCCCTTCATAAGGACTCTTCCCTTCATCCGCCATCCATACTTATGTATCGTTGTCTGGCAACAACTGATCTCTGTGTTGGTTTGATCTTAGAACCTGCCGCCGTTATTTATTGGTTGTCCTTGGTTCACGAAGATTGGAATCTTTGTTTGTATGCGGCGACTACTTATTTTATAACAGGTTATACTCTGTCATCAGTCTCTCTCTTTACAATTACCACAATAAGTGTGGACAGACTTCTCGCCCTGCTGTTGGGGCTGAGATACAGACAAGTTGTGACTTTGAAACGAATATATTTGCTTCTTACCATATTTTGGACTTTTTCGATCCTTGCTAGCACATCGTACTTTATACATCCCCACATAGCTGTCTTGTGTAGCTACATTTGTATTCCACTTTGTCTGGTAACAGCAACGTTCTCGTACACAAAGATTTTCCACCGTCTCCATAACATCCCAAAGTGTGCTCCATCACAACAAGGTATCCAACGGCCAAGGCAACCAGCTCCTCTGAACCTGACTCGATACAGAAAGGCAGTGTACAATGCACTGTGGGTGCAGTTGGCATTGGTCGTTTGTTATTTACCATATATCATAGTCATAGCAGCTGTGGATAGAGGAAGGCCTCCATCTAACTCTACATTTGTTGTCTTTCAATGTGTTGAGACCTTAGTTTTCTTAAACTCCTCGTTGAACCCGTTTCTATACTCTTGGAGGATTGCTAAAGTGAGAAAAGCAGTAAAGGAGACAATCAGACAAGCACTTTGCTGTCCATGGAATTGAATGTTGTCTTTGAACAAGTCCTGAAACTGGTACCGTTAAAAAGGCAAGCTTTAAAGAGGACAAACTCTTAGTTAGTAAATAGAATAAGAAAGATGATAAGTTTTAAGCTCGGTAAAGAAATAGAGAAAGATATTTTTCGTCTTGTCACAAGCGTGGGACAAAGAAAAAATTCTGAGTCCTCATGAGGAATCGAACCTCAGACCTTTGGATTCCGCGCTCCGATGCTCTACCACTGAGCCACAGAGACACTACGGTGAGCGAGGTCTATACAAAGTTACTATAACACTCATCTTGCATAATGCTAGGATCAACCATGTCAACGTTGATAGCGTCATGTTTGTAAATAGAATAAGAGAGGTGGTAATTTTTGAGCTCGGTAAATAAATAGAAAAAGATGTCTTTTCGTCTCGTCACGAGCGTGGTTCAAAGAAAAAATTCTGAGTCCCCATGAGGAATCGAACTTCAGACCTTCGGATTTTAACACTTAGCCACGGAGACTCTATGGTGAGCAAGGCCCATTACGAAGTTCGAAGACGAAAAATATCTATTATTTTTGGAAATCCTTATGATTTAATTTTTAAATATTTTCATGAATCTGTTACTTATGCTCGTGTTCCGGTCCGAAATAATATAATAAGCAAATTCTTCAGCGCAAATGTAGAGCTTTTTAATACACAGGAAGATGTAACGTTCATTAGTCAATTGATTAGTCTGGCAGGTAATGCCTCTTTTCTAAAAGAGACCGTATTTAAGTAAGCCAAACTTTTAACCTATTTGTCTTGTCATTAATTCTGCTCAATTTACAACCATGCTACTAAGATAATTTGGTCGGTGTGGAGTTGCCTAAACTATTTTATAATCCGCATCATTTAAAACTCTCCTATGGAATAAACACGACCTAAAAAACGTGTTCTGGTGAATCAAACTATAGTATAGGTTGCCTGTATCGCTTTTGTTGAGTCACTGCCTTCATTTAGACTAAAATATTCGTATTTTATTTTTCTTTGGCATTACTCAACAAAACCGAAACAGCTCTGTTTCATCAATACCTTCAATTTCTGTCATAGCGTCAAAGACTAAAGTATTCGTACTAAAATGTGCATCGTTTTCCATCCCCAAAGTATTTCTAGTAAACCGAAACCCTCCACTCTGTATAGGTAATACTGTAGCACGATTTCGAGTGCAAATTGGTGTAAATAAGTACGAGTAAATTTTTCAAGGACAACAAGATTACACGGGCCCTTAGGGCAGGTGCAATTTCCAGTCTTTGAAAAAATTTCACGTGGTGTATTTTATAGTCTTTGAAAATAATACACTGCTACGTTGATACGCAAGTGTTTGCTTCGTTAGTTTAGTAGATACCTCCTTATCAGGACAACCTTTTTAGACATTTTCATAGGAATTGTTCATACGTAAATTACATACAAATAATCTGAAGCGATCTTTGAAGAAACCAGTTTCTCTACAGATCAAAATAAATACGCTTTTTGCAATGGAAATAATAACACAGGTGACAGTTAAATGAATAGGTGAGTAGTTATCTTCTGAAAAGCGTGATGATGATTGAAAAGTGTTACGGGAAAATTTACTGATTTTTCCATGTGTTTGTTTGGAACATATTTATTCGTAAACTTTCACATTTAACCATTTCCAATTTATTCGAGTTCATTCAGGTTCTTTCATTTTAGTAAATCAAAATATGTATAAAAACCACAGTAGCTTTTGGAATAGATTTTGCTCGTTACTCGCTTTCACAATGCACCTGCATGTCGGTACTTTTGTTCATCATCATTAAGTGAAATTTTAGGTAAATATAAGTGTTAATGGTCTTTCTGGAAAAATTGGTTTTCATGGTAGTTAGCAGAGGAGTTTATACCCGTCACTTTAATTCCCTTTCATACGATAATTTCCCACACCAACCTTGCATAGATAAGCAGGAACTTCTAATTGCTTTTCCATTTTATTTCCTAAGCTGCGCCACTGTAATTGAGATAGGTATATTTTAAATACCAGAGCTGTAAATTCGCACCTAATGTTTCACTCTAGATTCATTAATTACGCGTGAAAATGTAACAGTCGTTAATAAGCTATAATTGAACAATCACAAAACGAAACTATCACTAATTTATCGTTCCTGAGACACAACGAACGCAACCATCGGGTAAATATTTCCCTTCTATGGAATTTTAATTCAGTAGAATCCTTACTCATCATAATTGCTGTGTATTTTTGCTATAGATTTCGAACGCACATGTGTATTAACAGATATTAAAGAACACAGTTTGAAACCGTTGGTTACAGCAATACATTTGTTGTTTACAACTGAAGAAATGTAAAATGGTTTCCGTGTTTACATAGCCTGATGTTATTACGATCGAGAAGCCAAAAGATGAATTGCAGAATACCCATGGATCAGAGATCTAAAGATTTACCGGATAACAAAAAGGCTGCTTTTGCCACATTAATTTCAACTGAAAGAAGACTTGCAAAAAATTCAGAACACGCAAAAGTTTATAAAGAACAAATACAAGAAATGGTAAATCGAGGAGTGGCAAGGAAACTAACCAAGGCAGAACTAAGAAACTACAAAGGTCCAATACACTATATTTAACATCACGAAGTACTAAAGCCAGATTCGAAGTCCACCCCTGTCAGGATTGTGTTCAACAGCAGTGCAAAATATATGGGTCATGTACTGAATGAGAATTGGGCGAAAAGACCAGACCTATTCAACAACATATTAGCAGTCCTCTCAATATTTAGAGACTTGTACGAAGTTGCATTTATCGTAGATATTAAAAAGATGTAACTCACAATTGCAACCAACGTGTTAGATCAGCACACGCATCGTTTCCTGTGGCGCGACATGGAAACTACACGAGAACCAGATATCTACATAATACAGAGAGTTTCGTTCGGCGACAAACAATCAGGCGCGATAGCAACTGTCGCATTACGAAAGACCGCAGGAATGGGAAAAGATCAATTTTCGGAAGCTTCTCAAGTGATACTCAATAATACATATATGGATGATATAATTGCAAGCGTCAACAATCAAAAAAAGGCAAAGCAAATTACAGATGATATAGAGAAGTTATTGGACAAAGAGGATTCAAATTAAAGGAGTGGACCTACTCAGAAGATCGATCGAGCATACATGAACCAAAGATACCAATGGAACCATCTACTGCTACAGAAAAGGTTCTTGGCGTTGTATGGGATCCTATAAAAGACAATTTTCACTTTAAAGTCAAATTAAGTTTTTCCCCAGAGAAAAACACAACACGCACTCACATGGACGCGAATCCTACAGATGTTCAACCCATCTGTAGCGTGGAAAAACCCTTTGACTTTACACTTTGGTTTTAAGTCATTTCAAAGGAATTTCGTGTTAAATTCGTTTACTTTATGGCTTTTTTTTACACTTGGGGAGCGAGTCTTATCTCAACAAAAAGTTCCGTTTGGCGATGAACGCGAAAAGTACGAGTCAAATTGTTCGCAATAAAATACCTTGAGCTGCACATGCGTAGTAATGAAAGCACGTGAGACTGCACCATTTTTTGACCTTCCAAGACGATGTACTCAAACGAGAATTTTTCAAAACTGCGCTTTAGAATTTGATAAAATTTGCAAGAATTCCTATTTTAAACGCACTTCAAATAACGAAAACTCTGAAACGAAAATCTCACAAAGGAAATCTGAGAAACAGTAAGTATTCATAGAGCAGCTTTATTCTTATTTTTTCCAAGAAAAATGTTTGTTAAAATCTGGTCAAATTGAAGCAAAACAATAGTAGTTATTTTAATGAAAGCTTCGTGCAACCTCATAGGAAAATCTAATGACCGGATTTTCCGTAAGCCTCACAAAAGTGGAATTTTAGAGTTCTTTTCAGTCATCCGTGTTGCCATGGAAACAGATAAAGGCGCCAATATTAGTCGTTAATATAAATCCTTAATCACCATACTTTCCCTTTGTCAAATTTCAGATTTCAAGCGGCGATATTTCTCACATAATGTCTTAATGAATGATATATACCCAAAGCCTTCCAAAACTTTGATCACCTTTCTTAAACTGATGCCAGAAGAACTGTTAATATGCAAATTTATACCAAAAGCCTGAAGTGATCCTCGGAGAGAAACACTACCCAACAGGTTGAAAATATAAGGCATAGTGGCGGCAGTAAATCTTTCTGATGATGCTCGAAAACGAATGGAAACTTGGAAACAACTGCAATGCGTGGCAGGATGGGCAGATGAAATACACGGGCCATTAATTTTTTTTGCAATCAACACTTTCTTGTCCATTGCTGCTTTTCTCGGTAACATCCTTATCCTGGTTGTTCTTCATAAGGACTCTTCCCTTCATCCACCATCCAAATTTCTGTATCGTTGTCTGGCAACAACTGATCTCTGTGTTGATCTAGCTTCAGAGCCTTCCGGCGTTATGTATTGGCTGTCCTTGCTTCTAGAAGATTGGAATCTTTGTCAAGCTGGGTTTATTACTTCTTTTGTGGCAGGTTATATTCTTTCATCAGTCTCTTAACAATGACTGCAATAAGTGTGGACAGACTTCTCGCCCTGTTGTTAGGTTTGAGAGACAGACAAGTTGTGAGTTTGAAACGAACATATTTACTGCTTAGCACATTTTGGATTGTTTCGATCCTCGCTGGTATATCGTACTTTGTAAATTACCGCATAGCCATATGGTATAGTTATATCGCTATTCTACTCTGTCTGGTAACAGGAACGTTCTCGTATATGCTAACTTTCCACCGTTTACATCATCGAAATCAAGTGCAGGTGCATTTTCCAATCCAGCCGAGTGAACCAGTTTCATTCAACATGGCTCGATACAGAAAGGCGGTGAACAGTGCACTGTGGCTGCAGTTGACATTGGTCGTTTGCTATCTACCGTACGGCATGACGGTAACAGTTCGACCTAGAAGTAAACTATCTCCTTCTGAATTTATCGTCCTTTAATGCGCATTAACCTTAATCGATTTAAACTCTTCGTTGAACCCGTTTCTTTATTGTTGGAAGATAAGAGAAGTGAGACAA